TATAAAGGAGACTCCAATGGGCATTTCCTTTTCAAAACATCAGTGTAGCCAGCCAATAAGGCATTGCTGTTTTCCTCCAGTATCTTTTCATCGATAGTCCCCCAGAACATCTTCCAACAAGGACAAAACAACGGTGTGAAGTTTGGAAGTATTAAGAGGTTGTTGGCTAAAGCAAAAAGTTGCAATTCTTTTCAAAGACTACATGATGGTGTGGCTAACATTCTGGGGGTGGGTTTTGTATTTCGTACATGCATGTAAAGCAAGTTGCGCCTGCTCTGTCCTTGTTTTATTTCTATCATCTTGTTTCTCCTCCATGTATCTTCAGCATGAAAGACAACACATCCGAAGAGTAAGCAATGACTGCTCTACTTCTGGATTATTTTTCCTAGTTCTCCCGGTCATTCACACCAGATAAAAACAGCGCTGGTAGAATAGGGCTGGTTTTCTTCTAAATGCAAGCTTTCAAAATTCAACTCTTTATTGCATGATTGAGTCCTAAGAGGCTGCCTGGTTCTGTTTCATGCTTCTAATTGACTGAAATGAAACATGAAAATGCTTAGGAAACTGCACAGATTTGAGGAACAACTGTACACTTAGCTTCTGAGGAAAACCAAAAGAACCTCAACTGATATTCCCGCCGATTGTGTGGGGCCTCTTATTACTAATAAGCAGTTATGCGCAAAGCTGTAGTACTTCTGCCTTAGAATGAACTCAGACCTTGTAACTTCTTAAAAGGCCTCTGGTGGCAAAAGGGATGGTGACACCAGCCCTATTCTTGTACGTTTTCTCCTACCAGCCTTCCTTACTGTTGTGATGCCCCCATTTACTAATCCCTCTTGTCCTGTGTTTCTGGTGAACTTTCTGACACCCAAAGTTCATTCCATCTTCCCACCTTTTGTTTTCTCTTCCAGGGTGAAAGCAAATCTCCCCCGTAGGCTTTCATCAGTAGAATCTTGTGTCTGTCCGAGCGCTATCTGCCCAGCTTCCTAGACTACGTTATTGTGAATGTTTTGACCATTTAACTTGATTTGAGGGGTTAGCCTTGATTATTAAGAGGCATGATTTTCTCAGCTTCCTGGCTGCTCTTTATTTGCCACATCCCACTCCCCATGAGGATTTGCTGTGCCAGGTGACAATCTACTATACAGCAAGTTCATATTTTGAATCATTTGTTTAGGAGAAATATACAGGCAGAGGGTCTCCCTGTATTTCATCCCAGCTGATGCATTAACCTGTGATAGGCCCTAACATTAAAGCAAAGAGCAGAGGCTAGTTCGGGTTTAAGTTATATTTTCTGCAGGAAATATTACTATTTGGGGATTAATTTAAAGTGCATTTATTCTGCTACTTACCTCTTCAGAAAGGACTCAAAGACTTAATGTGACTTGTTCTCATTTTTAAAGTATTACATTAAAAAAAAAAAAACTTTAATATTTGGGCCTATTTGGAAAAGCTTTGATACTAGGGCCTATCTCAGGCTAATGCATTCTTCAGCTGGGATGAAATACAGGGAGACCCTCTGCCTGTATATCTCTCCTAAACCATGACTATATTGCTGATGGAATGTGTTCCAGAAACCAATATTATTGGCTGGCTCTTGATCTGTTGATACCTGTTACAGAGGCCTTTGGATCAGTGCAAATAAAAGAAAGCTACAGGTGATAATTGTGTGTGTTTTGCACTCGTAAATAGATTTTTCTTAGCTGAGCTACATTACAGCAATCACAACCATGGAAGGTCTCCTCTTCCCTCCTTGGTGTCTGTCTTTTCTTCTAGTCCTCTTGGGATAGACATGGTAGCTTCCCCACCCCGCCATCTCATGTTCTAACCGTTATACCCTTTATGAGCAGCAGCTCTTGAATCTGATGACCCTCCATCCCTTCTCATGCTTCTTTTTGGCTTGTGTGGATCCCCATCTGCCCCTGCTTCTGTCCCAAGCCCTCTCCGATTTTCTTCCACCATGTTCAGCTGGGTTTTTTTGACCAAAAATGTCTTGCTTTAAAGAAGAAAACCAAGCCATGAGACAGAGCCATTGAGTTGTGTTCTGCTGCGTCATCCACCTCACCACCACCCAGTCATTTGCTTCCTCCTCTTCCTGTGCCAGACTGTCCCAGCTCCTTGTGTTTGCAGTAGAGTTAATGTTTACCCCTTTCCCTGCTTCACTAAGGGCTACTCCTTCTGCTTCAGAGAATGGGTAGGAAGAGAGATAAAGGTCTTCCTGATCTCTCTTTAAGATTTTCCTCCATCTATCCATCCATCCATCCATCCTTCAGAGAGGAGGAGAAATCAATCAAATCAGCACTGAAAAGGCTCCATTATTTTCTGAAGTGTTGCACCTAGCATGTGTAACCACTCTGGTTGTGCCCAGTGGTGGCCCAAGATTGCTACTGGCAGTTAGAGATCCCTAAACAAACCATGAAATTGATTCTACCCTCCACCCCAAACTGCAAGGGCAAATAACCTTTAAAAAAAAAATTATTTATTTTTAAAGGTGTTTTAAACCTTTAAACCTAATACCTCTGACTGGGTTGTTTTTTAATGGAAGTGGGCATGGGCGTAGGCCAGCATGTAAAGTTCAGATCTCTTAAAATGAATGATGCAAGGCTGTGCATCACCTTGGAATCCCTCAGAGACACCGTGGAAGCATGTAATGTTGAAGCAAAGAAACGGTAACTTGGTAAAGAAACAGACCCAACTTCTGAGTTGTAGGATTGTAGATCGGGGGGACAGGGGGTGGCTACTGAAGCCATCCAGTTTAACCTTCTGCCCAGTGCAAAAATGGGAATTAAAGCCTTCTGAACAGGTGGCGTTCCCCCCCAATGAGTTCCAGTTTGGTTTCTCCAGGAAAAGTTCCTCTCCATGTGGTTTTTCTTGACCCCATGATTGTTTTCTTCAACTGAAATAAATATATTGCCTGTATTTGAGTTCATGCAAGACTGTACCCTGGGGTTGTGTTTTTTGTGCCCAAAGTTGTATCAGTAATGTTTGGGCAAACAAAACAACTTAGCCAACATCTTCTAAGTCTAAATAAATGAATAAATGTTGAATAAATAAATTGTGGCATGAGAATACTGTAAATGGCGACATGAGAAAGAAAAAAGAAATGGAGTAGACGCTTCAGAATAAAATAGTAAAAGTATTGAAAACAATCCAACAAACTCAACAGATGCTCATCCTGAATGGTTATTAATCTGCATTTCAGGATGAATGCCAGAAAATACAAATTATCACTGCTTGAAGACATACACATTCAAAGACAGATGTTGGCCATTCATTCATTCATCCATCCATTTTGGGGGAACTGTGCTCAGATCTAGTCTCAGTCTCTCTCTCTCTCTCTCTCTCTCTTTAAGTAACATTGGCAGGGCAAAAAACTACTGCATGTAACTCTCCTTAGTTCATTTACAACAATCTGATGAATTTATTCTTATGTTCAATAGAAGTGCATATTGCCCTTCAGCACAACTTTTAGCACAGTATACCAAAACATAACTAAAGAAAAGGGGAAAATTGTTACACACCTAGGAGAATTAGAATATCCTTGTGGACCTCAAAAGGCAGAGTTCCCTAAGAGAAGAATTTCATGAATGGGGTGCCACAAACAAGAAAACCTTCTGGAAGTCACTAGCTTCATTTTGGCAACCAAAATCCCGATATTTTGAACTCATCGTAATATTGAAAAGTTGCTGAAGACCATTCAACACACAATGCATTATGGCAGCTATTCTTTCATATTGCCAAATCATTCATCATTTTGGATCATTTAGATTCATCTTGATTTCAGTAATATAATCAGACTTGGAAGAGTGATGAGTGGCACAGTATTTGCCTTGTACAATAATGATAATAATAGTACCAATAGTAATAGGTGCCTTGGGTGCAGTCCTTAAACATCTGGAGCACCACTTGAACACTGTCAGCATTGACAAAATCACCCCCAGTCAATAGCAAAAGGCAGCATTATTTGGAACAGCTTCCATCCTGCGACAATACCTTTAACACCATCAAACAACATCTGCCTATCCCAGGCCCTTGGGAAGAACCCGATAGGTGGACAAAAATGCCAGATCCTGTCTAAACATCTGTCTGACTATGCAACCAACCATAATAATAATTTATGTTGCCCTTTCCAGACCTCCTTAGCCCTTGTCAGTACTTACTAGCATCTTGCCGCCTTATTTTCTGTCCACCACTATTTCTTGCTCTGTATATAGCGACTTTTTTCAGTCACTGCCAGTGGTCCTCGTTGCTTGGTTCTGCAAGGTTAAACCTACCACCCACCCTCTACTTGGGTTTCAAATCATCTCTGTCCTTATGTAACAGATCAAGAACATTTATTAATAAGTACCCTTTTCCATTCCACGAAAGTTTCCTGGACTTATTTAGCGGCTTAAAGCAAAAGAAAGGCTAATCGTTATGGAAGATGGGAGTTGTCATCTGAAACATTGGAAAGACATCAGAATGGCTTAAGACTGATTTATTCATTGTTTACATAGAGCTTCTTCATAGAGCTCTTCACTCTCTGGTTTTGGGGATCACAATAATTTACATAACAGTTCCTCTTTCAAACCCTAACTTACCTCTTTTAATGAGTCATTCAAGTTAAAACTTAGCTTAATTTGACAGACCTGAAAAAGCTGAGAATGTGATTGTTGAAATAGAGAAGGAGGGAGAAACTCTGAAGAAATCAAGCAAGTTCCCCAAAGTTCTTGATTTAAATAGAAGGTGGATTGTGGAGGTGAGATAAAGAGACTTTCGTTTGTTCTTTAACACATGAAGCCTGTTATTGAAGATTAGTGTGAAGCGAGCACATTAAGTCAAACAAGTCACCAATGAAGGGAGGGTTTGGAATTTCATGCTTACAGATTGGCTGTCTCTGGTGTCGTCTCCTCTCCACCCCTCAAAACAAACTCCACGGAGCAACTTTGTGTTACAGGAAACATCTGCTGGATGGGAGGGCCAAGGCTGGGTTACTTCAGGGCATTGGCCAACAGAATCACCCAGAGCCTGAAATGTAAAGCATGTACAAGGCATTTTGTTGTCTTTTCCCCACCCACTCCTTACACAAGAAGAAGAAAAATTAACAAAAGAGCAAAGCTGTCTCTTCAGAGAAGAGAGGAAGCAAGGAAAGTCCCCGGTGGTGACTGGACTGAGTTCAAAAATTACTGTTGTGCTCATCCTGGACTAACAGGGAAGGACTAGAACCAGAAGGAATATTTGCTGCTCCAGAGATAAGTCCTAAACTTGAGAAGGCTCTGCAAGACTGACTCTTGGAATGAACATCTGAAGTGCTGTCGGCTTGCTACGAATTTCATTACTGCTTTCCTGTTACAATTTAGACAGTGGCAAAGATTCAACATGGGCAACATTTAGGAGTAGAAGTATGATCCCGTTAAGAGCCTGCAGGTTGAGCCTGGACATCTTTTTTCAGAGAGCAGAAATGCTGGAATTCCTCCAGCTTGAGGCACCTCTGCAGAGCTGCAGTGAGACAAGAGAGCTGAGCAACTAATCTCCTGTGAATGGACTTGTTGTGAATGAACTTGGTCCTCTTAAATTGTCCTGGGGAGGTGGATTGCTTTCCCTATGCCTTTGGGTCTCCAGAACCATATATGAGTGGGTGGGGAAAATTAGTCTAGTGCCCTCAAAGCAAGTACCCACTGCGGTTTCTCATTTTGGTGATACTTGTGGAAGTAAAGGGCGCTTTGTCCCTTGCATCTGTGTGCCAGTAAAGACTAAGAACAGAAGACGCTGCTGCAACATTATGGATGTTCTATCAGAATGTGGGATTCTTTGGAGCCTTTTCTTAGAGTTGGAGGACAACAGTCTGCTGTGTCACTTGGAATGGCTGCATGATTTCTCCGAAGGTTATAATGGTTCAGCTTGGGATGAAATTCCAGCTGTGAGTGGTGTCCTGTCAAAACCATGCCTCCTAAAAACGCTTATGTGGTACTTTCCCACCTCTTGCTTAGAAGCCGCTTACTACTGACATGCAGAAGATTACGCCAGTTCAATCCTGCTTTACTTACTTACTTACTGCTTTACTCCTGGTTAATATGAAGGAGGAATAGTGGTGGTGGTGGTGGTGATGATGACGATGATGATGATGATGATGCAACTCTCAAAACAAGATTTTCTTTAATAAAAATGTTCAGTAATTTTTTGGTGCAGATAGTATCTTCTCCGCTGTTTGGTGTTAAGACTTCAATCATTTAGATGGAATGGATGATCTTTCTGCCTGGCTTTCATATATATATATGTATGTATGTATGTATGTATGTATGTATATATGATATATACATATATATATATCCCCCCCCC